TCGATCCTGGGACCTCTTCTGTTCAATCTCTACATGCTGCCGTTTGGTCAGTGTCAGAAACAAAGTGTCCTATCACAACTATGCAGACGACACTCAGATCTATGTCTCACTGACTGCAGGAGAACATGGACCAGTGGACTCACTCCTTCACTGTATCCAACAGATCAGTGAGTGGATGCAAAACAACTTCCTTCAGCTAAACGCAGACAAAACAGAAATTATTGTCTTTGGTCCCCAGAAACAAAGAGAGAGCGTCATCTGTCATCTCCAGTCTATCTCCCTAAAACCTTCAAACAAGGTCAGAAATAGGGGTAATACTGGACTTAAATTTTAATTGCCACATCAGCAGTAACATAAGCAGCTTTTTACCATCTAAAAAATATTGCCAGGATCAAAAACATAGTGTCTAGGGCAGACCTATTCATGCATTTGTCTCCAGTAGGTTAGACTACTGCAATGGCCTGCTCACAGGTCTGTCCAAACAGGCTGTAAAACAGCTGCAGTACATTCAAAATGCAGCAGCTCGAGTCCTGACAAGAACCAGGAAGTACGACCATATTAGTCCAGTTCTCAGGTCTCTGCACTGGCTTCCTGTGGCTCAGAGAATAGACTTTAAAACAGCTCTGCTTGTGTACAAGTCTCTCCATGGCCTCGCACCAAAATATATTAGTGACATGTTAGTCCCATATGAACCAGCCAGGACTCTGAGGAGCACAGGGACTGGACTCCTGTTAGTGCCCAGAGTCAGAACTAAACATGGGGAGGCTGCTTTTCAGATTCATGCTGCGAAAATCTGGAACAGTCTTCCTGAAGATGTGAGACAGGCCTCCTCTCTGACAATGTTTAAAACCAGGTTAAAGACAGTTCTGTTTAGCTGTGCATACAACTGAGGGATTTTATATTTTTATCTTTCTTTTTAATGTTCTGTGATTATTTATGATTTTAATGCTTTCTTATTTTGTTCAGTACTTTGAATTGCCTTGTGTATGAATTGTGCTATATAAATAAACTTGCCTTGCCTTGCCTTGCCTTGCCACTTCAGACGTCATTTTTGCTGCAGTCTAATTGCCAAAACTTAATGAATTAGTGATGATTTATGATTAGTGTTTTAATTAAATAAACTTATTGTACCCAAGCTCTTTAAAGCCTGTGACTCGTCTAATCCTGAGCTTTTCCAGATTGAAATACCACAAAGATTAAACACTGAAAAAAATATATATACAGAAAGAAAAATAACATATTTTGCCTCACAGTTCTGAAATGTCCAACTGGACCTGACGTCATGCGCTGATAAGAGCCCTGACCCTGAGCCGTGTTTGGATTTACAACAGCACTTTGTTTGAGTTACACTGTGTTCAATGCATTTGTGGGAGAGGAAAGAACTATTTGGTGTTAACGACATTTTATTGATTTATAAATGTATTTTCCTATGACTAACGTCTGGGCCTAGCTTATTTATTTTTACAGTGTCAGCCAGGACTGGAAAGGGAGATGAAAACAGTATAGGCCTTCTACTGTGAGAATTGCAATATGCTAGACAGGCATTGGAATTCACAAGGATTTTTATAATACTGGGTAAAGGGCAGGTGTAAAGAGAGAGATCAGAGCAGCTCTTTAGGAAAACAGTTGCTGCTTTAAATTCAGCATCAAAAATGTGAAATTCTGAAAAACGTTCTTGGTCAAACAAAGATAAATTGTTGATAAATTGAGTTCTTGGATTGTAAAGAATGTGTAATGTCTGGAATAATTTTGTATTCACTTTTTGAGGTTGTCAAAATTTTTAAAAGCCATATGTCAATCAGTGGTAACAAAAATTTGAGCAAAAATTGTGGGCCCATCTCTTTTCTACTACACACTTCCTCCAGCTCATCTGGGGGAATCCTGAGGTGTCCCCCTTCCAGCTGAGGGACACCAACATGTCTTTGTTGGTGTCTGTGGGACATGTCCAGAGCCACCTCCCTGGGTGGCATCCAAAACAGATGCCCGAGCCACCTCAACTGGCTCATCTCAACGGGGAGAAGCAGCAGCTCTACTCTAAGATCCCCTTGTGTGAGGGAGCTCCTCACCCTATAGACTCTAAATTTTAGTTAATCAAATCAGCAAAAAAATGTCAAATTGTAACCACAGTTTTTGTCCTAAAAACAAAAATGAACAGTGAGTGTGTCGCATATGTGTTGGCTTAAGGTTTGTGTCTGGGCCTTTAAATTGGGCATATGCCGATAAGTTTTCCTGATATGATTCATCCTGTTAATAAAGTCAAGTAAAGTGAGACTGAATTAAACATAAAGTGACAGCAGAACCCTCCCACAGGAAACAGCTCTTCTCCTCCTCTCCTTATATGGACATAACTCCCCCAAAAGCCTCAGTGTCGCCTCAGGAGTACAGTGGCTAAGTATATATCTCTGCTCCATGGGAACAAGCCGATTAAAGCCGCTACCAGGAAATCACAAACTTGTTAAATACAGGGGTTAAGTGGTTCATGTCATGCTCAAAGTACAGAAACTCTGGCCAATTGAAAGCACATGCACTGTTTTAAAGCATAAAAGGAAATAACTGTATTTTAACTCATTGTTGTTCTTTAATGAATACATTTTGTTCCAAGTCAATAAACTGCAGTCTTGTTTAAATACATAAAACCACAACATACTGTCTTCATCTTATTTGAAAACCTGTTATATTTTACATACTGATAGCTGATTGGCTGAACGAGGGGGGTCCTCCTCTATTGGTGACACAGGGTAAAAAATGCATACATGTGAAAACTAGTGATAAAACCAAACTGTTTTATGAGCCAGGAGCAAATTACATGGACCTTTTTATTTTGTTGTGGTTTTGAAAGTTAGGTATTCTGGCTTTTACTCTAAGTATTTGTTCCGGGAATCTGATTTCACTGCTAAACTTTGACAGTTACTCCATTTTAAATCCTAACACCTCTTATTTCTTTCTCTTCTTACATTTTCAAATCATTTGTTGTGGTCAGCTGAATTTAAATTGAAGCGATGTGGTTTAATTATTGTGTTGCGGTTAGCCATGCTGCTAAGTTCAGATGGCTTAGATTTACAGAACGTTTTGTTTATTGTCACGTTCTCTGGTAGTATGATGCATTTCAACAAAGTTATAATGTGGTTTAGTTTTTATATTTCATAGTTTTATTGTTGATTTATTGAAGATAGATTGGAAAAATGGCTCTTCTAAGTCACCACTACAAGTCGTTGCGTCATGCTCAGAGTAACCACCGCAGTGAGCAGAAGATCCTGTCACTTATATAAAACGGTCCCTGTTGTCCCAATCCTTAAATTCCTCCCCTTCGACGCTGGTCTGAAGTCCAACACTTGTGGCTCTATGACAGACTTGTGATCCTCCGCTGAACGGTGAAGATATAGACATTGTCCCAGCAGCTAAATAACTGTCATCTTATTTCTTATTTATTTAAATTTAGCTCAGACCCCCATCCTCCTCTTTGCTCTGATGTAAGCTGAGATGTCCAAATAAATACCTGACAAGCTTCTACAATCTAATATTGCACAATATTACATGTTGAAACATAGACAGCTCTGAAGTCAAAGTAATGACATATTAAGATAAGATTTTAGTGAATACACAAATAAACAACAAAAACACAGGTTCAAAATGTTGTTACTTAGTATCAATAATGTCATATTCACAGCAATAGTTTTGGTATTAGTTCTTTCTTCTTTCTTTTTATATTTAAGACACTGCAGTGGACATATGTCCACAACTGCTTACTCTTCAGTCTGTGTGTCACAATTGCACTGGTGAAAAGTGTGTTTAGGTTTAGGTTATTCTTATCCTATCCTTAGCAGCCTGATAATGACCCCTGTGGGTTATGATATGGCTCCATGACTCCAGTAGCATTTGCTCCTCAGAACTCTTTCCTATTTTACTTTTAACTGTAACTGTATAAAAAAGTACAGCATACATTACCTGCATTGTTTCATATCAAGTTAATTTCCTCTGGTGTAACGTTTTTCTCCAGTGGAGGGCACCAGATCCAAAATAAACTGGGGATCTTAAGGATGAAACAAATACAGCTGTTCATATACTGACCTTCGTTTTTGTGTCTTTGTTGTTGTTTTAAGTAAGTACAAGGTCCTTTGTCATATAAAGTGTGCAACTTGTGCGAATGTGGATCTGATCCGCACTTTTGTTAAAAAGATGCTTTGGTATTCACATAACGCTCATAAAGTCTGTTATAGTTTTCTCTGTGTATTATTTGTGTCTCTTTTGCACAGTGTTTAGACATTTGGTTAGAAAAGTGTTAGAATTAGGGTATGATACAAACAAAATAGTTTACTAAATGATCCTGTAAGTATGAACCAAAGTATTCATAAACCTGAAATGGGAAGCAGCTTTTCAGGTTTATGCTTATAACATCTGAAACTAAAAATGTCAGAAAGAATCCTACTCTGATAAAGCAAATTATCATTATTCTTTGAAGTGCAAAGACTGTATACAACTGAATGACTGTTCCTTCCTTTTTATTTTAGAATTGAATAACTTGAATTATGTTTTTCTATCTTGTTTTGTTAAGTACTTTGAGATTCCTTGCCTATTAACTGTGCTTTACAAATGAACTCGCCTGGCCTTGCCTAATATATATAAATATAAATATATAGTATATATATATATATATATATATATATTTATATATATATATATATATATATATATATATATATATATATATATATATATATATATATATATATATATATATATATATATATATATATATATATATATATATATATATATATATATAAAATATGCAGCTGCGTACAGTGTGACAGTAGCCGCTGCAGTGCCTCCTCCTCTCCGCTACACGGCGCCATGCTCTCCCTGGTGCTGCTTTATCAAAGGGAGGGTTGCCTTCTGTCATTTATGTGATCACTTTTATGATGTCTTATTGTTTTATTGCGCTTTGAGGCTCAGTATTCTTATCTAGTGACACGGGCTCGGCTCGTACACATCAGGTCAAGATGTCAGCGAGCGCTGTTTATGTCCTGGATCTGAAAGGAAAGGTAAGATAACGGGACAGCTGCTATGATGCTAACTGTAGCATGTGGCTAACAGCGGCTAACACATTCCTCACAGATTATGATGTGGCTGAGACATTGTGACTCACAGAGCTCTGATGTGGAGGCATTTAATCCCCGTGCACCGTTATAATGTATCCATCATCCATGCAGTGTTTAGTGACACTATCCAAGTGCTGGAACTATTGGGACAAGGATTTCTTGACAGTGCTTTCATCTTTTGCCCTCTGACTGTTCATTTGGTTCTGATCATGTTGATGTTCCTGTCATTGGCTGCTGGCTGAGCCCGGTCCAGATGCATCCCTCTGTCACCGGTGAATCATTGTTGCAGCTGCAGAAATACTGGACAGCCCTGTACGACCACATTCTGGCTACATTCTGACCTGAGATCACTCATTAAAGCAACTCTTAAACTGTTGCATTACAACAACAGTAGTAATTCGTGTTGGGAACTTTCAATCCATCACATATGTCCCTCTTCTAGGTGCTGGTCTGCAGAAACTACCGTGGAGATGTGGACATGTCTGAGATTGAACACTTCATGACCCTCCTGATGGACAAAGAGGAGGAGGGAACGCTCTCCCCAATCCTGGCTCACGGAGGAGTGCGCTTCATGTGGATCAAACACAATAACCTCTACTGTATCCTTCTATTGTTATGTTGACACAATAATGGCTCCATCTGGCTTGGTACAGATAAAAGCACTGTTTTATTAATGCATAATAAACAGTACATCATATAATTATTGATTACAGCTGTAAAACAACTTTCTCTAGCTAAACTCAGAGAGAGAAAAAAGAGAAAATTATCTGTCACCTTCAGTCTCTCTCCCTAAAACCTTCAAATCAAGTCAAAAATCAAGAGGTAATGCATCAAATCACTATCATCAGCAACTTTTTACCATCCAAAAACCTCAGAATCAATAACATAGTGTCTAAAGCAGACTTGGGAGATTATAGTCTATGAATTTGTTTCAGTAGGTTAGACTACTGTAAGGGCCTGCTCACGAGTTGTTAAACAGCTGCAGTACATTCAAAATGCTGCAGCTCGAGTCCTGACTAGAACCAGGAAGTATGATCATACTTAGTCCAGTATTAGTCCAGTCCTCAGGTGCACTGGCTTCCTGTGGCTCAGAGAATAGACCTTAAAGCTGCTCTGCTCTGTACAAGTCTCTCCATGGCCTCGCACCATATGAAGCAACTCTGACTCACAGGACTGGCCTCCTGCTGGTATTCTGGATTATGCATCTAAAACCTGGAGCAGTCTTGCTGAAAATGCGAGACTGGCTTCTCCTGTTCAAATCCAGGTTAAACACATTTCTGTTCAGCTGTGCGTACAACTGAAGGATTGATATTAATGTACTGTGATTGTTTTACTATTTTACTTATGGTTGTCTAAATTATCACTTTAACTCGCCTTCATTATTTTTTTCATTAATCTCTTCAAAAAGATTAAGGCATTTGACCCACCCATGCATCCCATAATAACACAATGACATGGACATATGCGTGTGTATGGCGACAGAGCAGGTAGCAATATTATTAAAGATCCATGGCAGGTAGGCATTAGTTAGCATTAGCACCACTTCTTATAAGCTGTACAGCAATCACTGAGGAAATGGTACAAAAGCAACGCACTACTAACAAAATATCCAGTACAATAACTGAAAGATTACCGCCAGTTTCGCATCCAAAGTTAGTCCGAGGTGCTCCCGCAGGTCTCTCCAGCGAGGATACGATGTAAGCTAGGTATATTCACCCAGGCTTGATTTCTTCTTTGATCATTTTTTTTGCTTTAGTTCCCTCTTCTCTTCCTCACTGTTCCATATTTTGGGCTGTGTTGCTGTGTCTGGTTACAGCCAGAGGAGCTGCCATGCTGCTCTTGTTTACATGCACTGCAGACGCTAGTTTCTACTCAGCACTTTTTATGGCCTGAATTCGTATACAAGGTAAATCAATGAGCAAAATGTTTCAATTAAATTATGCTTTTTAATACAACTTACTGCCTTCTACAGAAAGACAGAATGTTAATAATGTTAATGCCATTTTATGTGGATTTATTGTTAGAATAAACAAATACAGTACATATTATGTACACTATGTTGTCATTTATATTTCCGTTCAAACAACCATTGATAGAAAAATATGGCATAATTTTGCCGATAGTTCGGAATGCGATTAACTAACGAATAATAATTTTTTAAGCTGTAATTAACTTGATTCAAACATTTAATCATTTGACCGCCCTAATTTTAATTCATTTAATACTTGTTATATCTTGTCTTGATAAGCAGCTGCCTTGTGTATGAACTGTGCTATTCGAATAAACTAGCCTTGCCTAAAACTATCAATCTATCTGGATCAACCTTAACATATTCATCAGTGGTCGCAACCTCCAAGAAAAATGCCAGTGTTTCGTTGGTGTTCTCCTTTTTGTACAAAATTGTTCAAGTATGTATGTCGAAAATCCACAAATTCTAGCAGCTGCTTTTGTAGATAAAATTAACTTTTTCCTCTTTAGGTTTTCTCTGAGTATTTCAAAGAACTGGAGGAGGAGAGCATCAGAGATAACTTTGTCATCATTTACGAGCTGATGGATGAACTCATGGACTTTGGTTATCCACAAACTACGGACAGCAAGATTCTGCAAGAGTGAGTTGTTCAAAATCTAACCAGGAACAAATACTTTTACTGAAAACTGTTCTCTTGTGTCGATTGGAAAGTACCCAAGCAATCCCACAATGAAATCCAATGAAAGCTTAAGCTTCTTCATGGTGCAATTGACCAATGTTATCAATATGAAAATAACAGTAAGAGAATAGGAGAACCCTTATTCATCCCACAGTGCGGACACTTCAATGTTGCAGCGCACATACAGGACAGTATTAAGAACACACAAGGAACACACAAAATATACAATATAAGTAGCTGCTATGTTTCTTGGCTTACTGTAAATGCTTCATTATCAATATATTGATATATCTGTGTATATATAGTCTAAAGTTATATACATATATGGCAAGATAATGCGTAAAGTAGATAAAGTGGACATTCTGAATTGCAGTATTGCTCTAGCCATACTTTTTTTTTTTTATTGTCTTGAAACTATCAAAAACTGCAATTGCAATAGTTGGCGTAGAAGTTGAGGAAAACATCACCAGATTTGTCAACTGCTCAACTTTTCAATGTGCTTATTTTTGTGTGTATATCTTTTTACAATATGGACGTATTTTGAGCTATTACCCGTTTTTATTGAATATGGGTTTAGAGAAGTGACTGCAGGTATGATAAGATCTGCAGTGTCAAACTGGTCCGCAAAGGGCAAGTGCGGCTGCAAGTTTTAATTCCGACCAAGCAGGAGCACAACCAGACTCTACCCATATCCTAAAATCTTCAGGTTAAGACTGGACTAACTTGAGGAAATGGGTGGAGTATGGTGTAGAGCTGCAACTAACAATTATTTTGTAATCGATTAATCATCGATTATTTTTACGATTAATCGAGTAATCGCTTGGCTGTGAATTGTGTAGAAAAAAATTATGTTTTCATCACAAAAAGCTAAAGTGGCAACACTCGAGGACGTATTGATGGCGTAAACTTAAAGTAAATGTTTGTAACAGGCTCTTTGTGCTAATTCTGCTATCTGATTGGATGAGACAGACAGATATTCATGAAATTATAAAAACAAAGTCGGTTTTAATCAAAAATACTACATTTTCATGTCATTTTTGCTCTGTTTGAGTCCGTGTGAACCAGAAAACGATTAATCGATTACTAAAATAGTTGTCGACTATTTCAATAATCGATTAGTTGTCGATTAATCGATTAGTTGTTTCAGCCCTAGTCTGGTGTGCTCAAGCTTGGGTTGGAAATAAAACCTGCAACCACACCGGCCCTTTCTAGAACCACTTTGACTCCCCTGGATTAGATTGACACAGAACTGGGCAATTATGAAGATGGTTCTGCACTGTAGACTGATTTATTCTCAGGTAATTAAATTTATTTTTTAATTACCTGAGTAAAAAAGCTTTAAAAGAGGTGAAACAGGTCATGGTAACATTGCATCCAGATGAGAAATTGAGACTAGTAGCGGATATAAAATAACAGCAAATATACCAGTCAATCTCTACTGTCACAGGTTTAGATATGTAGATTCTTAGAGAATACTACCAGACTGCCCTTGATAATCAATCATAATCTCCTCGTTTAAAATGACAATAGCCACAACCACCTTTCAAAAATTCCTATAAGTTTAATGTTATAAACTTAGTGAAACACTATACAATTTTTTTTATCTGTCACTTTTAGTTATGGAGAAGAGAAGGATGTCTTTCTCCTGATGTTTTAGAGTAGACCAAACAAACAACATATCAGGAGACACTATGCGGTTTCAGGCCCTGAATTGTGTGTTCACATGTTTGCTTTCCAGATACATCACACAGGAGGGCCACAAGCTGGACACCGGCGCTCCCCGACCCCCCGCTACCGTGACCAACGCTGTGTCCTGGAGATCAGAGGGCATCAAGTACAGGAAGAACGAGGTCTTCCTGGACGTCATCGAGTCAGTCAACCTCCTGGTGCGAAGCAGGATTTTGTTTTGGTCATACACAATTGCGCACACACACATACGCTCTGCATGTAAACTTCCCCTTTCCTTTATGTTGCACTATCCGGCCCCGAGGATTTCAAAACTTTTATTTTGTCTGAGAGTTGGAGGATTATTGGTAACACTGTAATGCACGCAGAGGGTAACTGAATAGTTCAAAATTAATTAACAATATAATCGTTAACTGTTCTCTAATGATTAAAACTCTTGCCAACAGCAGTATTAACTTTGAATAAATGATCACACCCTTTTTAATAATTGTTTTTATTTCCATAAATCACCTTTCATCAATATAACAATTATACCAGTACATTTTCCACATCAAGAAATATTTGGTCTCTATCTTCCAAATACATTTCATCCATCCATCCATTTTCTACCCTTTAATCCATTTCTGGGTCAGGGGGGTGGCAGTCAGAGATGCCACCCAAGTCTCATAGCACCAGCCCCTCACTGACCCTCTGCAGGTGGTGAGTCCACAGGAGGGCGGCTGCTCACTGAGTGTGAGCATAGCCTTGATCTTTCAGTGGGGGCTTTGGGCAAAGTGGGGTTAAGTGTCTTGCCCAAGGACACAACGACAGCAGTTATCAGTGGGAGTCGGTGCAGAGGTGGGAAATGAACCCACAACCTTCTGGCCTTAAGGCCAATGCTCTACCAACTGAGCTACTGTCTCAGTTGGTAGAGCTGAGACAGTAGCTCAGCTGTCTATCTTCCAAATGTATTTGAAAAACTGATTAAACAATTGACCACTAAAATGTTGACCCCTAAAATAATTGCTAGTAAAAGACAGTAGGTACTTTTGTGTGTCTATTATATGTACTATTGTGTGTGTGTGTGTCTTTCAGGTTAGTGCCAATGGAAATGTCCTCCGTAGTGAGATTGTGGGCTCCATAAAGATGAGGGTGTTCCTGTCTGGGATGCCTGAGCTGCGGCTCGGCCTTAACGACAAAGTGCTGTTTGAAAACACTGGACGTGAGTTTTACAAACACAGGAACTGTGCAGCTGTGCTCATTTAGGAAATGTCCTGTCCTCTTTTGAGCATCCTAGTTAAGACACTGACAAATCGCACGATGGATTTATCAGTGTCTGTGTCCGTCCGTTTTCCCATGTTTTAACTTTAGGCACACTTCACTATGTTTTACAACATTTTTAAAATAATAATAACAACCAGTTAGGGCTCGGGCTAATTGGTTTTATATAGCGCTGTTTTGAAACAAAAAAGACGCTTTACTTGTTATTATTCTTTCACTCCATACATGGTGGTAATAAACAATTACTGTAGCCACATCTGCCCTGGGGCACACTGACATAAACGAGGCAACCAGTATGTGCCATCGGACCCTCTAACCACTGCCAACTATTCAGACACCTGACTCATTCTCATAGGCAATGTGAGTGAAGTGTCTTGCCGAAGTACACAACAACAGTTTGGGACTTTACAGCCGCAGACTCCGCACAGTGGCACCTGATGTTCCCAGAGGTCTCCCATCACAGTACTAACCAGGCCCTGCCCTACACAGCTTCGGAGGTCTGACTGGTTCTTGCTTTCACATGCAGCTGTGGCTACAACATATATTTAGAGCAACGGGGCTAAAACAGGACATTTCTGGGGTTATCTTTTGTTATTTGTCACATCCTCGTCCCAAACAATGTGTATCTGTTTGTGTCCAGGAGGAAAGAGTAAGTCTGTGGAGCTGGAGGACGTGAAGTTTCACCAGTGTGTGCGTCTGTCACGTTTTGAGAACGACCGCACCATCTCCTTCATCCCTCCAGACGGAGAGTTCGAGCTCATGTCCTACCGCCTCAACACACACGTGAGGACTCATGGTTTTTTTCAATAAGACACAAAATAGCAGTTTTTTTTTTTTGGTTTTTGTGTATATTATTTTAAGAAAAGGGTTAGTAACGCAAGCACACACAGGTTCAGTAGCACAAATGAAATGTATATATTCTCTATAAACCTCTTCAGTTTGGCAGTGGTATTGGTTTTAAATAGTTTGAATGGATTTCTCCTCAAAGTATTTGAATTGTTGACTCGGTACAATGCATATGATACTCTTTTTTTTTTTTTTTTTTTTTTTTTATATTTCCTGGCAAAAACAATTGTAAAGGCTTTCGAGAAAATAATAATTTAAATGCGTTTCTCACGTCACATCCATAGTAAAAAGCGACATTCAAGACAAGCATCAGTTTTGCAAAGTTAATCAAGAGACCGTTAATGCTTAATTTCATACCCTCATGAATTCCACAATTGTACAGTAAGCAAGGAAATAATATTTATTCATATCGCGCATTTCGCAGACCAAGGTCACACAAAGGTTTTATAACGTTACCAAACTATGTTGCACTCACTTTGATGACAGAGGACTCTGACCATCACCATCCGTTCCCTCTCCCATTACTTTCAGACCTGTTATTCATGTTTTTAGTGTCGGGGGAAACCGGAGCACCTGGAGCAATCTTGCGTAAGCACAGGGAGAACATGCAAAATCCACACAGATAGGCCCAGAAACCACTAGACCAGCTTCTTTGACAATTAGCGATAGCTCAGATAGTTTTTAATTAAGATCAAATAAACTTTATTGATCCCGAAAGAAATGACAGTGGTGCCCGCTGCTCCTTTTTCACACAGTCACAGGTAAATAAGTTGCTAAAATATACTAAAAACAGTACAAAATAAATATTGTCTGGTTCCACTGTCGGCTTTATAAGTACAGTAAACGTTTGTCCCAAATGTTATTTCAAAAGCCCCATTATCTGACTCGCAAATGCTTTGTCGCTTTCAGTTTTATTGTTTGACTTTATATTCCATCCTTCTCTCATCTGTTGTGGATTTCCATGGGCTGACGTTGAAAGCGTGCGGACAGGGCATATGCTTCTGCTCTCACAGACCATTGTCGGTTAATCAAGTTTTTAATGTTACTGTAAGAATTTCACAACACCATTACCAGTAAGTGAGAGTGGATGAAGGGAAGTGTGTGAGATTACTTCCTTTTTAATTCCAAATCTTTGTTTGTGTATCCTCCCATGAGGCTCATCATTTCTGAATGTTCGAACATAAACAATAGTAGTTTGTTGTTCCTATTGTTTGAAGCTATTTCTTTCTAAGTAGTGATTAAAATGTCCCTGTCCCTCGAATTCGAAAAACTGGGGAACCTAACTTGTTTATATAATTTAACTCATTGACTGCCAGTCGTTTTTTGATGATATCACTGATTGTCAGGAAGACCCACAGAATATTATGTGCTACTGCTATGACTATGTGAGAGTTTGAAACCATGGTTCTTTCATCAGCAAAAATAAAAAAATTTCTGGCTTTTTTTTGTCCTCTGTAAACCCCAGAAGTCACCAGTCTCAGACAAATACGTCAATGGCAGTCAATGAGTCAAGATAAGATAAACTTTATTGATCTCACAATGGAGGAAGTTACCATATATATAATGTATACATGTTGTTTGTCCGAACAGAAAGGGTCTCGTAAAAAAAAAAAAAAAAGCTAAATTTTATGAACAAATCACACCAAAACATGCCTTTTTCGTCATATCTTCTCTTATCTTATCTTTTGCATACATACCGTACACAAAAAGCCCCCTACGTCATTATTTCACCCTTTGGACTGAGAGCTTATTGGTCCTCTTTTTGTCTCTAAAGGCTCATCTAAGTTGTAGCAGAGCCCAATAATACATGTATGTGAAAACTAGTGTTAGAATCGAACTGTTTTGAGCAATATATGAAGTACAACTAGTTCAATTTTTTTGTGGTTTAAAAGTTTGGTGCCCTAGACTTGAAATTGCCTGCATAGATTTATTTATTGTAAAAATCCTATACATGAAATCTAAGTTATTATTCTTAGCAATGGATCCTGTGCTTGCATGTGAGTCTTAAATAAAGTCAAATTAGAAATAAAATAAGTATATCCTACATGACAGGAGTTCAAATCAAACACGGCTTTAGTGATCATTGCAACATCCACATTGTACACAGACGCATAATGTAATACCATTGCTACCCACTAGATGGCGCCGCCTCCACATAACTTTATCGTCTCAATTCCATCCCTTTTTTTCTCTTCCTTTTTCATCAGGTGAAGCCGCTGATCTGGATCGAGTCTGTCATCGAGAAACATTCCCACAGTCGAATCGAGTACATGATTAAGGTTTGGACACACGCCTCTCGTCTGCTCCAATGACACTGATGCCAGCTCTGTTATGTAAGCAGCCGGTAGTTTTGTTAAGGAGTTTATTATCGACGGGTGCGGAGAGCAATCATCGTGTCAGACGTCTTTATAATGATTTCGCTTTTGTGATCGACAAGTTGACTGCAACTTGTTTGCAGTGGCCTGTCAGAGGCAATGAGGCTCCAGATTACAGAGATGACAGATTGAATAAAAGTCATGCTTTGTTTAGTATAAATGTCTAGTGCTGGTTTATCAAGCATTATTACTTTATCAACTTAATGCTCAATGAGTCGCACTAGCAGCGAGTGCATTTGTAAACGATACGGTGTGCATTTTAACCATCAACTTTTGAACAATTCATAGTTTTTGTTCTCTTCACACCTTTTGGAAAATCTCTCTGTAATGTAACAAGTGGTTTTCAAGATTCAGACCACAATACACAGGCGAAACTCCGAAAATTAGAATATTTTTCAAAAGTCAATTTACTTTTGCTGTCAGGTGTTTCACCTGACAGCGTGAAACTATGAGAGTGACTCATTTCTTACAAATTAACATTTATCAATCATTTTACTTTTGATACTTTTGATAATTGGATCACAGCTGTAACAACCTCAAATAAAACATAGAATATTTTGAAACTTCACTGAAAGCCATCATCATCATAAAGAGTTGGCATATTTCACTTTACATGCAAGGAGTTTTTAATCATACATTAGTTTCACATTTGAACCCTTTAATCTTTGAACTATATTTCACCAGTTTCACCTGTATTGTACTTTAATTAATATAGTTATGGCGTGTAGGGCTGAATGTTTGATTTAACAGTATTTGTAATGGTACGGCAAGGTTTTATTCAAAAGTACAAAACATGTTAATTTAGGTATATAGAAGGATTTTCTACTTCCGGGTGGATCATCAAGACTGCTGGGCCTTCAATCTGTCAATAAATCTGGTGATATGTGTTTGTCAAACAAAACCAGAGAGTTTCGTTCAAAAAGTGGAGAGGGCGGTTCTTTCCTCAAATTTGGGACAATCCTCATATACCCTTTTTTAAGTTACATTATTATAAGATTACAAGATTTCACAAGATTTTTCCTGTTTTTGTTTGCAATTTTTATTATAGATTTGATGTCTTCACTTGTGATGCTTTTGACAACCCCATCACCTTCTGTGTTGTTGCTTGTGTGTAAAAAGTAATCATTCTTTTGACACCTATTGTTGAATGACAACATGAGACATCACCTCACTTCTCACTTGAGCGCTCGTCTACCTGTTTTTCCCAGGCCAAGAGTCAGTTCAAGAGGCGTTCCACTGCCAACAACGTGGAGATCCACATTCCTGTGCCAACCGACGCAGACTCACCCAAGTTTAAGACGACCGTGGGCAGCGTCAAGTGGGTGCCGGAGAACAGTGAGATCGTCTGGTCAATCAAGTCGTTCCCCGTGAGCACACACAGACACACACACACACACACAAACACACACACTGAGTCACAACACGCTCTAATACCATTCTTGGAATAACCGAATATAATAAGCAGAATATGAAGTTAAGCTGCTGTTGCGTTAGCGGAATCGGACTTGGGTGTGGACGAGGCTAGCGTAAGTCATTGTCATGCCAGCCTTTGTAAATATTTGCGGTATATCACGGTAAAAAGATCAATCAATCTTTTATTTATTAACTAATTTATTATAAAAAAAATATTGTTAATTACAGCCCAAACTTCATTACTCCTGTCTTCATTGATGTGAATAGTTGTGTATTTCCAATGTCAAAAATGCAATAGTGGACCCTCGCTCTATCACGGCTCACCTTTCCCAGCCTCGCTATTTTGCAGATTTTTTTGTGGTGAATTTGTTGCATACTCCAACAACATAATTATACGACATCATATAACCACTAGTATAACATGACAGTTACCTTTATTTAAAGTCAGGAGAATATGTTTGTATGTTTCTTCCTGTAGCCCTCAGTCCTGCTCCTGCCCCTCAGAGCAGTCTCCTCTGCAGCTGTATGCATGGCTTTTGATAGCTGCAGCAGCGCTCAGACCTACAACGAACAAATTAAATTGAAATTAAAATGAGATAAGATTGAAATTAGATAAAAAAAAAACATTGTGAACTGTATACATCCTAGTTTCATTTTTGAATTGTTTTGTCTTTGTCAGGGTGGGAAGGAGTATTTGATGCGTGCCCATTTCGGCCTGCCCAGTGTGGAGGCCGAGGACAAAGAGGGAAAACCACCAATCAGCGTCAAGTTTGAGATCCCCTACTTCACCACCTCTGGCATCCAGGTACAACCCACGCACACTACACACACTACGACCATCTCCGGTCTTATTCTATAAAGATATGAACATTCTACATGATGCTTATAATGCTGTAACGTTCTATTACAATCCTGCTTCAAACAAATGTATGTGGCAGCCTGTTAGAAAAATGTCCACAACTTTTAGGTTCAAATTTCATGATCATTTCCAAGTTGTTTTGCAGAATATTTTAAATAAGATCATGAACTGTCTTCTTAGTCTTAATGTGATGCCAGTGAGCAGGAGTGTGTGTCCTCTCCCTGGACTGGGCTGGGGAAGGGAAACTTTGACAGTGACCTCACTTTCAAAAGGCCACCAATCTATCAAATATCATCGGATGTGCACATATTGTATGTTTTTGGGAAACTTAGAATCAACTCTTTCAGAATAGAATCAGTAATACCTCTGAATAGACTTATTTCCTCTGTTCCCACGGCCAGAAACATATGATGCATTCCTTTGGCCCTTTAACATCACAATAAGACCATCTGCTTTGACATAATTTCTTTAGTAAAACATACATGGATAAATTATGGATGCATAAAGGATAAAACAATATACATATCAGCCTGAGAGGGAGGTGTTGAATAACACTTTTCAACATCAGACAGATACATTATTGCCTGGCTGTAAAGAACATGACCTCATATTGTGAGGACATATGACCGCCTAGCAAATTTAATATACAAAGAATTGGACAGAAGGGGCAGGGGGAGCACAACTTATTTTCTGTTTTACATGAGGGAACAATATGAGATGGTTAAAAGCTCAAAAACAGACATTTCTGCATAATAAGTCTTATCTAAATTGTAGTCTTGTACCAGTTTAACAAGTTTATAGTTCTCTACCTATATTTGCTGCTCCTGGATATGGCATAAAACACAGACTGTTTAGCAAAGTAGTTCAGTCTTCTTCCCACAGGCACGTCACACGAGATGACATTGTCCAAGTCTGGGCTCTTTGCAAATGAAATATTTTGGATAATTGTGGCTCGAACTCGCTTCCTCGGCGTCTTTGATTTAGAGCTCACGGCGTGCTGTCAAGTGCAGCCATGAGCGCTACATCCACAGCAAGAATTCAAAGTATTTGCTGCAGTTTCACGTGTTGGCCAGAGGGGGCAGCAAAGGCTCACCGTCACGTCAGGCGCAAGCTGGAGGACCTCAGACCGGTACATTAGGAAAGTTGTGTGGGGGGAAACTATAGTAAATGTTTTTATTATGTTTGGAAAATTTATAGCATGCCTCAAAACATGAAGACACGATCCAAAAGGAGCGTAGGTGTGGGGAGTTGGAAAACAACAGCTGCAAAACATTTACATATTTATTCAACAATATTTCATCTGAGCTCACAATGCTCTTTAAAATGTGACTCTAACTAAAACAAATAGTGCAACAATTAGGGTTTAGTGCCAAAACATGGAATAATTGTATCATTGTGGGTGTTTAGCAGTAGTCTAGGCAATAGCAATGATGTTGTTGAAGAAATAAAGGTTAGGGGTTAAAAAAAAAAGACGATGGGAATTTATTTATATAGCACATTTCATACAGCTACGCCGCTGAACAATTGATTATTTACTTTACTTTTAAATGCATTAGTGTTTTATTTACGGAGAGCACACCTTGAGAACAATGTTTCCGTCAGTAAGGTAAATAATGTGGAAATGTAGTGGGTGTCTCCAGGGCGATGTAAAAGCAGTATTTCATTATGTTTCTGTATCCATTATCCTGTCATAAACCCTGTATATACGTTCTTTTGAGATTGTAAGGGCACATTATAATTTTTAGGTTTCCTCCTGGTGCTCCCGTTTCCCCTTCCTAAAAACATATGTACTATTGTGCAGGCCTGACATAAAAAACGTATATATAATAAATGTATAATAAATATTTAAAGGGATCAAAAGTTTAGCTTTTGAACTTAAGTCGGATCACTGTCTGAAGGTTTTTTATTTTCTTCCTGTTCTGTCCTTATCAAATAAATATAATTAATAAATGAATGGAACTGCGCCTCTTGACGAAGGTCTGTTATCCCCAAGTTGTTTTCTGGTTTAGTTGCATATCCATAATTGTGGTAAATTGTTATTTATGTTCTCACAAAAAAACCATTCCATAATTTGATATGGACATATGAAACGGCATACCTAGCTACAGTATGATGCACTTATGACCTTCTCCCATTCTATTTTTCCTTTAAACCATATTAAAACACTTTTGTCATTTTGAAACTCATGGATAGAAGGCTCTCAGGGAATATCACCATAGACTTTTTGCACAGTAGAAACTTGCCTAAACGACACAAGCTCATCATCTTCGCGCCTGGGCGATAATCACAGTCATCTCCAGCTTCACTAAGCAGAGATGCGACGGCTCCAGTTCCCATGACACACACAGACTGGCCCATGTTTTCTCCTTGAATGAAACTCGCTGACCACAAACTTTTAGCGTAGCCCTGGCTGTATAATTACACTCGTTCTGTCATTATATGTGCAGCAACATGGTGAACGCAAAATGAACTTTTCCATATGCAACAATGGCAACTTGTTTTGGAACCTCCGTACATGTTGTGTCAGGTGTACTGCTTATGTAATATAGGTTAGTGCTGTGTGGCCCGGTTACAGAGCGCAATGTTCACCTTTTTGTTGGGTCACTGTCGGGATATTGCCTTACGTCCTGTAAAAAAACACTCACCCGCTCATCTGAAAGGAGCAGCAAGACAATGGTTTCAATAAAAAATGCTTTATGGGTCATTTAGCTCAAATGGCAAAGAGGCAAAATGGAGTAAGTCAACTCGTATTCCCTGGCTTCACTGCCTCATAAAAGCAGCTTACATTTTACCTTTTTATTTACATCTTGCGGATCTCTTAAGTTTTGTAGCTCACACTGTTATCAGCGGCACTCCGGATTTAGATGCGTCTTATCTCTGTTAGTGTGAAGGCCCTTTGTTTCTTAGTTTTTCGGTTTTATTTGTATTGTTTGAAATACCGATCTGAGATAACACAATTCATTGAAATATATGAATACATAGAAATGACGGGGTGTTGTGCAAAAGTGGCCATACTTGCATGCAAAAGCCAGATGCCGATAGACTTCTGAAGCTGTGCAGGGCAGGGCCTGGTTAGTGCTGTGATGGGAGACCTCTGGGAATACCAGGTGCATCTGTTGTTTTGTCCTTAAGCAAAACACTTCACCCACATTGCCTAGTATGAGTCTGGTGTGTTTGTGAATGGTTGTTGGTCAGAGGGGCCGATGGCACTGGTTTCCGCGCTTCTGTCTGTGTGCCCCAGGGCAGCTGTGGCTATAGTAGTAGTTTATCAGCATTGTGTATGGAGTGAGAGAATAATGACATGTGAAGTGTACTTGAGTGTCCAGAAAAACGCTATATAAAACCGATCCATTTAAACATCTATAATGTAGAACTAGAAAGACATTTGTGGAGAGCAGATCTCTGACAAGCGGCGTAATGTCATTCCTGGGAGAAAAAAAATCCTGCATCTATACAGGGCATCTATAGGACCACCTATCAATTCAAATATTTTGTTCTTCTTTCATTTCTAAACTTTCCTGGGATTTCTTATAACTTTTGGTCTTAACTTTTTGAGTTATTTCACAAACTAACAAACGGACTGACAAACGCTGCTGAATAATGACCCCCTGACAGAGGCAAAGATGCTCCATGGGTGTCATAGATTACATTTGAACTAGGAAAGGCAAGGGAAGTTTATTTGTATTGCACAGTTCATACACAAGGCAACTCAAAGTGCTGAACAAAACAAGAAAAGGAACATTAGAATCTCACAGGGCATTACAACCATAAATAATCAGAGTACATTAAAAAGGGCAAAGATACAATCCCTCAGTTGTTGTACACAGCTAAACAGAACTGTTTTTAAACCTGGATTTGAACATTGTCAGAGTAGAACCCTGTCTCACATTTTCCCGGAAGACCACATTAAATATGAAACGTTGACTCCGGGCAACTAAATGACAAAGGTAAATTTTTCCAGCACCATTTATAAAAACTTCAAACTAATGAACTGTTGAAAAATTGAATCAAATATAAAGTCCTATTGAATTATGCAAGGGATTTGTAATTCTAAACAGAATCTGAACTATTCTCTTAATGCGGTTTTGTTTACATTTCCTTCAATAATGAGGACAGACGAAGAATCACACAGCCCACACAGAAATGTCAAACCTCGGCATCACAGACACCGTTCAGACCCAAACAAAAAACATCAAAACACAAAACTAACTCCTCCTTCTGACGTTTCGAAACACGCACGACTGTTCCGCACATGCATCCTCCCTCCTGCGACCTTACGAGGCATTTCCCCGTTAAACGCTTGCGTCAAAACATCAACTATTCGTCTCATTACAGGCTGAACTCGAAGCCTGTGTGAACCAGGAGGCCGCACGGTTTAATTAGACGCATGTAAATATCAAAGCATGAGAAAGTTCCTCTTAACTCGCCACTAAGTGCAGAGGAGAGCGAAGCGAGGTGCGTGTGATGCGAGAAACACCACCTTGTAAACCCCACTCCTTGGACGTCCGTTTATATTCACCGTAGAGTTGACTTGATAATGGGTGCGTATGGTCAATAAACTGCTCTATGGTAAATGTAGAAGCCTTATGCGCATATTGTGTGCGTCGTGATTGTATCGGATCCAAACGCATGCATCACACATGAATTAATATGCATTTTGGTCATTTTTTTGTTAAACTAATTTCATTCCACACATTTGCCGACTACCTGCAGAGCTGTTGCCACCTTTTTTAAAATGTTAAATCTCATGAAAAGCAAAGCAAGAATACTCTGTTGAATTGGATACATCTTTTTTTTTTCTTGGGGAAGCAATGAGCACACCGCTGCACAGCCTCAGTCCTCGTTCTACAGCCTGAGTCCCTGATCTACAGCCTCTCCGAACTCTCTCAATATGGGCCTTCCCGAGGTGTCTTACTTTTGTCCTCCTTTTATTTTATTTTTTTAAA